CAGTATTTACAAGTGTGATGATTCATAACACTCTCCCACCCCAGTATTTACAAGCCTGATGATTCATATCACTCTCCCACTCCAGTATTTACAAGTCTGATGATTCATATCACTCTCCCACCCAAGTATTTACAAGTGTGATGATTCATAACACTCTCCCACCCCAGTATTTACAAGTGTGATGATTTATATCTTGTTATTTTGTAGGCGAGATTACGTGGGATGGTGTTGGATGGATAAAAGGTAACGTGGATCAAACAGGATTTTACCGAGTAAATTACGATGCTAAAACATGGAAAGGTCTGACAGAACAGTTGGAACATATCCACACAGGGGTGAGTAAAATGACCTGGGTAACACTTCTTGTATCAAAATAAAAAAGAATAAGTAACGAGATCTACTGAAATTCTAACAGTAGGAAAACTAATTATATTTGCTGTTCAGGCTTTCACTGAAGCTGATAGATATGGATTGATTGATGACGCCTTCAACTTAGCAAGGTTAGAGACATCATGATCCTAATATATATAATAAACCATGATCTCTGATTATCGACCACTTATTGTAAGCAATTACCTCTGATTATCGACCACTTATTGTAAGCAATTACCTCTGATTATCGACCACTTATTGTAAACAACCGCAAGTTGTTCCAAAAATTGCTGCAATGCTCCTAGAATAACCAATGGTTTGTGTGATTGTCAGGGGAGGTCGTCTGAATATCACAACTGCTTTAAATCTTATCGGCTATCTGAGGAATGAGACGTCCTACTTGCCTTGGCTTGCTGTCCATAAGAACTTAGAGTACATACTTGGTATCTTGCCAGTTGATTCCAATGTTTATCGTCAACTGAAGGTGAGTGTGGACACGACAATCAACGCAGCAAATTGTTTGAGGATTGACTGAGTGTTGTTATTCCCAAGAGTCAAAAGGCCAAAATTAAACATGATAGCCACCTTGGATGCTAATAAGAAATCTGTTGTTCAATGACACCAACATGGCCACGATGACGTAACGTGTAATAGAAGAAATTCAAAATAATTCACCAATGTGTTATGAGAATCGGTTAATCAAATCTCACTTATAAATCAACAATCAGAAATCTCTTAATAACTCTTTTTGAGGTTTTGTTCTTTCCATTTGCAGCGATTTCTTGCTTATCAAAGCAAGCCTCTCTATGATAAACTGGGCACAGATGACACTGGATCACATCTTGACAAGTGCGTTTTTCTTTAAAGTGTATATCAAGGAAAAAATTTTATTTTCAAAATCACTTGTATGTGAACAGTGTAGTAGTATGGTTGCAGTATTTTTGTATGTGGACCTCTCTTTTCAGTGATATGAACATTTGAAATATCAATATGCAAATGAGATGACGTAAATTCATGTGGTAGGGCTATGTTAGTATAAAGAAGCATTGTATATCCTATCCTTCATTGAGTAGCCGTGTTAGTGGTAGGGCTATGTTAGTATAAAGAAGCA